TAAATATTTTAAAAAATACTAACTAGTTAATATTTTATTACTTGAAAAATATTTTATGTTTTATATTATAAAGTAATTAATTTATTCTTTTGTTTTTATATTTTGTTAATTCTTTTTTATAAATATTTTGTTTGAAATATTAAATAGAAATTATTAATGGAAATCTTATTAATATACATTAGTCGACATCTTGTCGAAATTAGTCGACATCCTGTCGACATAATAGGAAAAACTGCATTTTTTTGGTTATTTGGACTGATTTGGTTGACATTTCCGAAGTATAGGAAATGTTGATCGAAATAATGTAATTTTTATATTTCCATCCATTTTCATGTTGGTGAGCCTCAACATTGACATATGTCGGGCGACATTAGTGACATTTGGCGACATTTGAAACCACGGTTAGGAGAAGGAAGGGGGGATCTCATTTTTTCTTTATTTTTAATAAAAATCTTTTATATTAAGAAGAATAAAGATGCATAGCATTAGTTGAAAGGGGGGTCTTGTCGAAGCAGGGCCCCTCAGCCGAAGGGGCAGGGGGCAAACCAGTTTCTTTCCCCTTATCTTTTCTTCCCTTCCTTTTCCTTTGCTTTTTATTCCTTTTCTCTTTTTTCTTCTCTTTCTTTTAAAAGAGAAGATGTGTGACCAAAAAATATATGAAAAGTAATTGCATGGTTTGGCTGATCTATTTTCACAATTTGCAAACCGAAGATGTGTGACCACCACTTCCTCCCTCCCAACTCTCCAACCTCTAATCAGGTTCTTAGCATCAGCCCTTGAAATCAGATCGCTTAGAACATCAGCTACTAGAGTAAAGAGGGGTGACAAAGGGTCTCCTTGTCTTAGGTCCCTTTTAATAGGAAAGAAATTCCTAGCTACTACATTCACCAATATGGAAAAAATGACGAGGAAATACACCCTTCACCCATCTACACCATCTTTCTCCAAACAACCTACAATTAAGAACTTCTAGAAAAGAGTCCCAATCCACAATGTCATAAGCCTTTTTCAAGTCCAACTTACAAACCAACCACTTTTCCTTTTGTCTCCTTCTATACTCTATGCATTCATTTGCAATGAGAGTTGCAATAGGATGGCTGCAGGCAAAAAGTCTGGGGGTGTGGACTTTTAGACAGAAGATGAGGGAGATTTATTGCTTAGCAAGGGAAGCTGGAGTAATCTTTATTTGGACAAGGAGGTCAGCCAACAGTGTAGCTGATACTTTGGCAAAGCAGAGGACTCAAAGGGAAAATCTTTTTTGGGATATACTGTAAATCTTGGGATAAAATATGGGGTCAACACTCATGCTGTGAGTGATTGGCATTGTACTCTACCAAATCAATGAAAGTTACCGTTTCCAATGAAAAAAATGAAAGTTGTAACTGTTATTATAAGGCTTTCTTTATCTTGTTTGTCTTTGCATTTGTTTTTTTTGACAGTGTTGCTGCTTGTGGTTATTCTCCCCTTAGTCCATCATTTCCATCTCCCCAAAATGATGGCAGTTCTTTTCTTAAGGTCAATACAGTTATTGATAAAACGCTTTTTTTAGGATTCATTATTTTGAACCATTGGGTTATTTTGTTTCTTAGTACAATTGTAGGTTCCTCTCTAGGTAACTAAGAGCAAGAAAAGAATTTAAATTGTATAACCTTTTGTTTTTTTTTGTCAATTTAGGTGTGTAGATATCCTAATCCTCACTTTGTCGAGGCTCTTTTCTTTTAATTTCGTTTTCTAGGATTAGATATCCATTTCTTCCATGGGTAGCAGGAAGTCACCATTGTTATGATTTACAATACAATTCATGATTAGAATCACAAATGCCTAGGGTATCAACTCTCAATTTGGACCTTGTGTCTGAATCGAGATTTTTGTGTGAACTACACTATTTGATTCTTGAATAATATGATTTATATGATTTATGCAATTTTAAACCAATTTGATCAGAATTACTTCTCTACTTCGTTACCTCTTTATTTCTATTTAGTTGTCAAGGGAGATTTATTTTAAGGCTTTATTAGAAAATGTTTCATTTTAATTTTGTATTGAGTTTATTAACCATCACAAGCTATTGTATGTGGATTATTTGACTTGAAAGTCAAACTTGATTATATCATCTTAGGCTTCTAGTATACAAGTGCTAAACTCAATTGTTTTAGATGCATATATGGTGGATATGGATTGAAAATAAGGTAAAATCACTTTTCTAAATGTATTTTGATTTTTTTGTTTATCTATTTTTTTTTTAAATTTGACAATTTTGTAAAATACAATTCACGATTCAAACAACTTTCTCGACAAGCCATTACAATTTTCAGAATATTGTTGCACCATTTCTATCCCTTTTCTGTGGTAGTTGACAATTTTTTCCGTATCTCTATATATTTAATAGCTCTTCTCTTGTAACCTTTTTTATTTTTAGTAAAGTCTTTTACTTTGCTCTTAAAAATTCTCTATATTTAGTAATGCAATTCTGTTAGTGGTAAAGCAGAATTTACAAGATACGCCATGGCATTTATTGATGTTTTTTAACCATGATGTCTAGGCAAAGTAGCGTCAAGTCAGATGACAATTGTAGTTAATCTTTCTTGTACAAGTCATTGATTTTTCTAATGTAATCATTTAGATGGTTGATGGGGATTCAATGGGTTCTACTTTAAGTTATTTCTTCAGTAATGAGGTGATATTTTCTTAAATGCAGGAGTAGGTTGATTTTGGTACTTATTGGAAGTTTACACGCTTTCTAATATAACTCTTTATGGTCTTGCAGGGAGATTGGATTTTGACTGGTAAAGATGTCTGCGATAACTTGAAATTGATTCACCTGTATATATATGCTGTGAAGTGTGTAAACGTTGGCGCTTCAAAAGATCCTTTTTTGACTCAAGTTTCAGATTTTGCAGTACTTTTTGGCAATGAGCTGGATGCAGAGGTACTCCATCTAATTGCTTTCTTATTGCTTCGGAAACTTGAATTTCTTTACTTCTCTAAAATCATCCTGATTTTTCCTAGGTTTTATCGATGTCGATGGATCTCTTTGTTGCTCGAACTATGATAACAAAGGCATCCCTCGTCTATAGGGGACCTATAGATATTACAGAAACCCAGGTAAGTTGTCTCTTGTTTTAATGAGCAATGTTCAGAGTGGGAACTTTCTTAAATTTTGGTTTTTAAAAATGCAAATTGGCTGTTAATCTAATTATTTACTTTGTTTTCATGCAGCTGGTTTCTCTGAAAAGTTTTCATGTTAGACTCATGAGCATTGTTCTAGATGTGGATGTTCAACCCTCTACCACTCCCTGGGATCCTGCAAAGGCATATTTATTTGTTCCTGTTGTTGACAAGATATGTCATGATCCTATAAAAGAAATTGACTGGGATCTGGTTGAAAATATAATAAGTACAGATGCATGGAGCAATCCCCTTCAGAGGGCTCGTCCGGATGTTTACCTTGGTACAAATGAACGAACGCTAGGTGGAGACCGTAGAGAATATGGATTTGGGAAACTGCGGCATGGTATGGCTTTTGGCCAGAAATCCCATCCCACCTATGGAATTAGAGGAGCTGTTGCACAATTTGATGTTGTCAAAGCTTCTGGATTAGTTCCTAATCGGGATGCTATGGAAAACCTTGATGAGGATGTTACCCAAGGCAAATTGTTCATGGCTGATTCATGCATTGATGCAGAATCTTTAGTGGGGAGGATTGTCACTGCAGCTCACTCAGGGAAGAGGTTCTATGTGGATTCTGTGCGCTATGATATGAATGCTGAAAATTCATTCCCTAGGAAAGAGGGTTATTTAGGTCCACTGGAGTATAGTTCATATGCTGACTACTACAGGCAAAAGTATGTTTCCCTTTTAATCCTAAAGTTCATCCAATATTACATCTTCATCTTTCCATGAAAAGTAAAAAGAAAAAAAATATGCTCTTAGGAGTTTTTCTTTTACTTGCTGAAACTTGTCAACTGATCTTTGCTCACTATTGAATGCAAGGAATGGATAACTAGAATGCACCTGAAGTGTTGCGCTTGGGGAAGAAAAGCTGATTACAATCTATCAAAGAAGCATAAACCCGCTGACTACTGTTGCATGTGAAATATGTGTGCCATAAAATATGTTCCTTATATTTCACCATGAATAGTAGCCTACAAGTCTTTGAATAGATTGGGAATGCTTTTGTTTCTTCTTGTGTGACACAAAGGTGCATTTGGTTATCCGTTTCTTCTATACTATCAGGTATGGAGTAGAGTTGATATATAAGAAGCAACCTCTAATAAGAGGACGTGGCGTCTCATATTGCAAAAATCTTCTCTCCCCTCGATTTGAGCATTCTGAAGGTTTGCTGTTTTGAAACCATCCACTTTATTCTGATATGCAAATTGCTCAATTACTTCACATATTTCTAGCAGTTGAACTTATGTACTTGATATCTTTTGGTTTGTAGCATGTGAAAGTGAATCTGATGAGGCTCTTGATAAAACATACTATGTGTTCTTGCCTCCTGAACTATGTTTTGTACATCCACTTCCGGGTTCACTTGTTAGAGGTGCTCAGAGGTTGCCCTCAATAATGAGGAGAGTTGAAAGTATGCTTTTGGCAGTTCAATTGAAGGATATGATCAATTATCCTGTTCTTGCTTCAAAGGTATCATATATCCCACCTCATCAGCTTTCAAGAGATTTCAGCAACTTCTCTTGTTGGTTCTTTTTTATTTATAATTTGTAGTAATTTGTGTCTTCTCCCTACCCCCCACCCCCC